TTTAAAGAAAACTATGTTGTGAAATATTAAATATAATATATATATGCCCAGAGGGAGGCAAGAGGCAGCCAGCTTGTGTGATTTCAAAGTCTGTCACTGAACAGCAGCCCGTTAACTCCTACACTGACATCAGCATTAATCTGAGCTTGCAAAAATAGAAAAGAATAATAAAGTAATGCAGTGATGTTGACATGTCAAAGATCAAATCCTGTAATCTAGCAAACATGCAAGGTTTCCGACTCTTTGCAGTAATGAGTCAAAATCTGGTCCTCACTTTGGCCCTCTGTGAGAACTTTGGCTTTGCTTTGGGGTCTTATGTGGTGGTGAAATTTTTTTTCTTATCTGTGTTTCTAAAGAAAAACTCTGCAGGCTTTAGCTGTTTGGTCTTAAGGCAGTTTATTGCTAGTTATTTAATAGATTATGTTTTTGGACTGTGGCTATTTGATCAGTGGTTTGGGTAGAGGCACATATACACCTTGACATCTTTTTTATCTGCTGTCTTCTTCGTTTCTTCTTTTGCCTAGGGCTGTTGCTATCTTTTATAAGATATATTATGTATAATATGTTTATAATTATTCTCTAATACTTACTACTTATGTTGCTAAGTGTTTTTTTACTCTAAACTAATCTGTGAGTGCTAACATCACTAAGAACATGGAGGTAAGGAAAAAGAAAGAGGAAGAACAGGATTAGCCTACTTTCCTCTATCTTAGAACTTTTGACCCTTATGTACAAAGTGAAAACTCCCCTGTATATGTGTTAAAACCCCCCTGTACAATACTAAAATATTTCCCCTCTACTTTGTAACTACTTATACTATACTATCTAACCTTTTGTGATTGCTTGTTTTACCTCTAAAGTTGGTAATTTATTTTATAGTTCAAACTCAAAATCACAGCTGTTTTTTAGCTGTCTGCTAGGGTCTAGAATGCCTCTGACTAAGGCCTGGAACCTCTAAAAATGTCTGAGAGACATTTTGAGTTCCCACAGCCCTCGTGTTGTAGTTCAACATCAAACACTCCTTCAAATCACCTTGCAATCAGTTCTTTCTTTCTGACTTCCTTCCTTGCCTACTGATTTCTTTCCCAACCATCTCCTACATTTCCCTTGCACTTTTTTAGCTTTCAGATTTCCTCTTGAGGACCAAGTGGCTCAAGTGCAAGACTCTTATGCTCTAAACTACACTTCTAGAAGGGCAAAAAGGTCTGTTTTCCAGGCAACCTGTGGCATTGGAGATAAGCCTAGTTGAATCCAAGAGAAAACACTAAAACTTAACATAGAAGGTTAGAGTGATACAGTCCAGCTAAAAGTATATCATTTATAAGGTCGGTTTACTACCTAAATTGAAAATACAAACATCTGGAGACACACACATCTTTTTATACCTCAGAGCTATAAATTAGCGATTTAATTTAAATGTTTAATATGCAACAAACCATTTGATAGCTACAACTTTTTGTCCAACAAGCTGCAAAAAAATCCTCAAACCCCAAGGCGGAAACAGACACCTTGAGATTGCAGGAAACGGCTCAAGGCGTTTGGAGCCTTTTTTTTTTTTTTTTCCTACTTTAGTGGCCCTCCTGTAAAACAAATATCATTTATTACTAATCCTGTAGAAAGAGCCTGAGTTTTTTTCCTCTCTCTCTGCAAAAGACTGCCTTGTTTGTGATTCTGCCCTGTAACAAACAAGAAGATAAACGAGACATTTATGCCAAAGTAATAATTCTAAATCTGTTGTTTTGACCTCTAAGCCAAATTTTCTGCATTACATGCCATTGGCTCAGATAAGACAGTACATTTTTTTTCCTGCCAAGTGAACCCTGTAGTGTATGCATAGTCCTGTTCAACAAACTGCTCTATCATTTATCTCTGAACATATGTGTGTTGGGAAGCAGAGGATGAAGGAAATTTTGCACTATATGGGGGGTATCACCCCCCCACATAACCCCTTGCTTTTTAGACCCTCTTGATTTTCTGTGTCGGGGAAACCAATGCACATTTGGACACAAATCCAACTAGGAGCAAAATTAGAAATCTTTGCTCAAATGAAAACAGTGGACAGCGATTATAAATATCTGGAGGACGATATGCTTTACCTTAATAGGTAATTTTGTATGTTTTATTTATTGGAGTGGGGGATATTTAGTGTTCCACCAAAGAAGAAATTTTAGGATTAAAACCAGGAGCAACCTTGACTTCTCAAAGTCAAGTTTGTACTGGATGGTGTCCAAGATGAACTCCACTTGACCTTAAAAGCACTACTTACTTTTCAACTAGAAACCAGAGTTTCCACATAGGCTGCTCAAGATGTGCTTGGCAGCTAGAAAAACAACACCAAATAAGTATTTATTTTTCTTGCAGACAAAAATGGCCTCATTGCATTTACTGCAGTGACACGGGTGACAGAAAGCCTGCAGAGGGGCATGTGTCATGTTGTGACACCATAGAGTGTGTGCCCTTTATCCCCCCAGCGACTGATGGTCTGTGGGGCTGGGAGATTACTTTGGGCTTCGAAAGGCATGATTCTCCTCCCTGAGTAGGTTTCCTCCCTGACTGCAGGGCAGGACGTCCTGTACCTCCCCAGGCAGCTGCAGTGCAGAGGTTTGATGAAGCAGAAAGTCAGCCCAGCACAGGTCAGGCCACAAAGCTCCGGAGCAAGGGTCTGGTGCACCAAGGCCCCGCAGACCGCAGGGGCAGCGCAGGAAACCGCCCCCTGCACGGAAGGGCTTCTTGCAAACCTTGCTGCTTGTAGAGGTCTGTGCACAGGAGGGAAAACATCCACTACTCTGAGGCCTCCCTCTGGCACCACTCTTTTTGGAATGCTGGGAATCCCATGCCACCACACATCTTTCCCTCCATCCATCCATGCCATCCTGTCAGCTGCCACTGCTTCCAGTTTCCATTTTAGTATGGCCACTGCCACAATGGGAAGGACTTTATCTTTCATGACTACTCTCCTAAATATAACAAGCTGAATTAGGTATTTGCTCGTGACTTACATTCCCCTTTTTTATTTTGTTTTGAAATACAGTCTTTTGTACTGAGGGAAATATCATTATTGCTCCTGCACCCCTTTCTTTTTACCCTCCTCCCATCATTTTCATTAGCCTTGGTTTTCAATTTTACTTTCAGTTTGAAACCCTTTGCCCCAGCATATCTACTCAGCACACTCACTCCTCAGTTACAGCCTGGCTAAGAGTGAAAATGGGCTTTACTTTGTTAAACTTGGCTTCTTTCCATCTTTCTAAATCTCATCTGACATCCACACCTTTTCATCTTGCACTGGAATTGTCTGGAAAGGGTTGACTTTTAGAATAAGGAGCAAATAGCTATTATTTCAGCCCTCACCAACCCACCTCATTAGAAATGGGATTAAGTTAATTTTTAACCAAACACAGACAAACAAACAGGTGTAACCACGGATACCTCTGCACCCACAACTACTTTTCTAGTGCTGGTCTCAAAATAAAGATTGTAAAACTCGTTTTAAAAGGAGGACCAAAAGTGTTTCTTTCTAAAGCACCAGTTGCATGGTAGTAATTTTAAAAATTTAAGACAGCTCAAACCTGCTGCTGGGTTATTTTTAACAGGAGCTTTGGGTACAAGGGCAGTTCAGAGACTGCCTGGCCCTAGAGAGCAAGAGGTAACTGAAGCAAAGCCTTGGCTGCAGCCAGGAATCTTCTCCATGGGAGGATATTAATTAATTTCAAATTAATTTATAAGAAAGGGCAGAAAAGTGAGCAGCTGACTTCTGAGCCTCTAGGAAACTGCCACTACATGAAAAAAAAAACACTCTCTCTTTTCAGTTTTCCTGTTTACAGTCAGATGATGGTGAAATGCTCTACTAAAAACATAGGTGAGGCAGAGCAGCTGGTGTAGGACAGATGGGAAATGGGCATAGTTCAAGGCTCAGCTATTATTGAAAAGCATACACATCTTTCTATATTTACTCCAACTTTACAGCTCCAAATAAAACACATGCAGTCCTGATGAGTTTATAACCCTAAATACAACTCAGGAGGAAAAACCCTCAGTCTTATCTGGGAAAACTGAACTCATATATACAAAAGCAGCAGAAGATTATTATTTTTTCTGCCACCACACATAGAGCTACACTTCTAAAAATACACTACTACTGCTGGAGTTAAACACAACAAAAAACCACTGTCTTACAAACACAGCCATGGTTTAAATTCAAGTGGCCAGTTCTTTCATCACAGAGCTCCTTGAAAAGCTGCTGAGGAGGACCCATATATTGCTGTACACCCCCGCAAACTCCAGATGTGGGTCTGACAAAGTGACCCACAGGGTGCTCAGCAGGGCCAGCTGAACTCTTAACTCTGCTTCTTGGGTAGATTTCATAGGGCACATCATCACTGTGCCCAGCCTGATACCTTTGCACAGTAACCAGTTCCCTCCCTGCAAAAAACAGAAACCAAGCTGGCAGAGACATGCCCCTTAACTCAGGGCATGGCTGCATTTCTCTGGAGAAAGATCAAGCAAGATCTGTAACCTGGGACATTCATGCACTTACATGCTTTAACTGGAGGCATTTCAGAGGTACAAAATGATTTTAGCAAATAAAAGATAATGCACGCAGCGAAAACAGTGCCACTGGATTTACCCTGCAGCAGCTCCATCTGAAAAGTAAAGTCTGGAGAGACAAAAAACATGCCAGCTAAGGCATATTCACTGCCACTTTGAAAAAATACTCTCGTAAGAAAATGTGGTTATAACTGAGAGACAGAGGAATGAAAACAACCATCCCCCATACCAGAAGGCAGAAGCCTGGCACAATCCAAAATATCATTTCTACATGCCTTGCAACAATCCCTTCAAAAACAAACAGGAACCACCACCACCAAGTCATACAGCTGCAGTGGACTCTGGCTGGGAGATAGTTTAATAACTGCTTTCTTTTCTTCCCCCTTTACACCATAAAAATGTCAAGCCTGAAGAGTTTGCTGGCACCAGCATCAGGCCGGGCTAGGGATACTCACTGCAGGCTCCACAGGTGAAGCAGCTGTCATGGTAGAGGTTGCCCATGGCTTGGCAAGCTTGGTTTGCTCCATACACGCCCTTGCTGCACTTCACGCAGGTACCTGGGAGAGAGGAGAGAGGTCACAAGTGGGACCCGATGGGGTGGCTGGAGACACTGGCTGGGTGACAACACATGTAGCTCATCATGGTGGCTGAACAGCTTAGCACAATGTGGCTCAATGAAGCCACAAGATGTGACATCACCGTCACCTGCTCTGACAGATGCTGTTAACAGTGGCCATGACAGTCATCAAACCTCCACAGTGAAAGACTTTTGCAAAAAAATAAACTGCACAAGAACTGTCCAGGTATAGTGACATCTCCTGCCTTCTCCCATCCTTCCTGACAACCTTTATATACATCTAAACCTGCTTAAGGACCCTCACAAAAGCAGTGAGTATCAGTAAGTGGTGCTCAGAGCTCTTCACAGACAATAGTTTCTGGTACTTATTGTGTAAGATAAGCTTGTTGGTCACAACTACATGAGGAAAACACAGCTCTTCACTTACCTCCTTTAAATCATCCATTTCAGACCCCACTTGTGCCTGCTGAAGGTCCTAATGATTCCCAAACAAAACAGAACTAGACTACCTGACACCTACCACTCTTAAGGAAATGGGACATCAAGCCAGTTTTACTTACTTCAGGCATTACCCTGTGATTGTGACAGGTTGTTTTTAAAGCAGCACCACCCTTTATCTACCTCTGAGTAATCTGAATCTCTGTTTAAGCAAATAGATTAATAAGGGGCAGTGTGAAGGAAAAACTGATTATGTGTTTCTGTCTCTGGTCTGTAGTGACTCTGTTGTGACTTCACCTTTCACCACTATCCAGCCCTATTAATCCTGGCTCTTAAAATCCCTGGTCAAGGGACTGTGAGTCACACCTCACTCCTACTGGCCCAGGAGGAGGAACAGCATTATCTTGTTGGAGATCCTTAGTTATGCTAAGGATGGTAAACAAAATTTCACTTCTTTTGGAGCACTGCAAGCTCCAAAGTAATTGAAAAAGTCTGGAGAAAGTTATGAAGAAGTTCATTGTGCTTACAACAGCACTGAAAAGTAACTCAACCCTGGCAGCAACAGGCTTGCACTGCCAGGGTGAGTAACAATTCCTTCCTGCAGCCAATAGCCATGGTGGTCAGTTTTCACACTACAGGGCTAAAACCACTCAGGAGTCCTTTGCAGTAGCACACACATGGCTGCTAAAAAGCAGACAGTTGATTTTCCCAGGTTTTTGCAGAGCAGATCTGGTGCTCTCTGCTACAGTTGCATGTGTGCATTCAACCAGCACATTGAATGCTGTCCTAGTGCTGTGCCAAGCCCCACTGCACTCAGAGACAGAGTCCACACTGACACGAACCTGGAGAGAAGGCTGCAAAGAATAATTAGTTACTTGTTTTGTCCAAATCCTACACCAACTGAAATGCTCACTTGGCTGTGGGCCCACCCCCGCACTCAGACTGGCACCAAGTGAGCAAAACTTTCTGGTTCTTTTTGAACTGAGCAGGTTTATCTCATTTATTGAAAGAAACATTTTAAGAAAGATAAACTGTACAGGCATTAGAAAAAGGATTAAAAAAGAAAACGTCAAGGCAAAGATTAGAAAAAATTGGCTTTTCAAATGGATGTGCTCTCCCAGGAATGCGCACATTCAGCGGCAGCCTGAATTTCTGTGCAATGATCTGACACAAGAGCTAGCAACTCAGAACTCCCTCTTGAGTACAGCAATGCGGAGCAGAAAGTTTCAGGAGCAGAAAACCTGCCAATTTTCCACGACACCCACCAGGCTTTCCACAGAGCCAACGTATTTATTGCACTGCAAGTGCTGCATTTTCCCCTTCTCTGTGCCAATGAGTGGCTGCTCCAGAAAATATCACCAGTATGCTTGTTTCCTGCTTTCCACAAAGCAGCTGGGTGACACCGACTGCGGATGAGCAGCAAGAAGAAGCAGGAGGCAGAAGGCACAGCAGCTGAATGTGGGCACAGCGCCTGATAAAGATGCTGGCAGGCAAAAGCCACTATTAAGTTGGCTAAGGCAAACCCCGTGGAGGGCAGAAATTGCCTCTGCCATCTCCTGTCTATCCCATTACGCTCCAGAGAACAGGCATTGCATTGCTCCTCTGGCTTCCCAAAAGGACAGGTCCTGCAGGAATTGTCAAGGTTTTCACATCTGTAACAAAACCTTCCTCCACCACCTGTCCCTCAATCTTCCCAACCACCCTTCTACGTTCCTTTCAGTCCATCCTCCATTTCACCTCTGATTAACCCTTTCACCCACTTCTTTCAATATTTAGGCCCCTAAAAATGGAAAATAAAGTCATGGAATGAAAGGGCTTTTAAAATAAATTGACAATGTTTTCTGTAAAAACTGTAATGTACTCAACTATGTAATAGCCAGACATGCTATAAATACTCATACATATCCTGTGCCAAGGTTGACAATTGAAAGATGGCATTATGGCACATCTGAATCTAGTTTATGTTCTTACATGTATCTGCTAAATCTTACTTGAAAGCCTATTAAACCTCAGTAGTGAAATTACTCTCTACATAAGTCTTTGCTCTTTCCAGATACAATATTCTGAAGTATTTTAACCAACATACTTGAGCTTTCCTCTCTAACACTCAGCACACCTGGCCTGAAAAAAAAGGGCGGGGGGGGGGGGGGAAGAGATTTTTATTGATTTTTCCTTTCCATTTATTCTATCCCCATTCACTCCCTGCTGTCACAGTGATCCTGATCTTCTGGCTTAGGCTAAGCAGGGAAAAAGCAAGGGAAAACCTGCTGTCGATGGCAACCAGTCGCTGAGCTCGGCAGCACGCGTGCAAAGCCAGCTGACGGAAGCCAGCGCAACTGGGGCCACCTCCAACCCCATCCTGCTACAAAACGGGCTCTGCGCCCTGCTCCACACCAGCTCCGACGGCTATTTCCCGAAACAGTGCTGACTGTGCTTGCTGCTGGTGTTAAAATGTCAGCAGCATCACTCCAGCTCCACATGCCACTGACACTAGTCAGCAGTTCTGGGTTATTTTCTTGGCATTGAGTGGCTTTTAGTAAAAACTTCTGTCCTCAGTATGAAGCAGAGGGATCCTGAGTAGCCACAGTTCAGCAAGATCGCCGATTCCTGCGCTGGGTAACTTTGCAGCTTGTAACAAGTGTTTATGCAAGCATCAATCCCAGCAGACATCCCCTCTGAAATGACGGTTTTTAACCTTAGACGACATTATTCAGAAGAAAAGACAGGTTTCTCTTTTACCACCAAGATAACAAACCCAAACCACCACACACGCAGAGCACCACTAAATTCATGCCTGAGCGCGCAGGCAGAATGGCAGCCAGATTTGAGAAAGGAAAGGGGTGGAAATTGCTGATTTCGGTTCAATTTCTGCCGGCAGGGCAGCTCCCTGGACAACAAAGAAATCTCTGTTCCCTTTTGCATCATGCAGCAAGCAACCACCCGCACTGCAGCTGAGAGTTTGAACAAAGGGACCTTTGGAACAGAGCTGGGACCAAAAACATGCCCTGTAAGCCACTTCCCGGCACTTGCCACACTCCATCTCAGCACTGCAGACCAGGAGGGCTGTCACCAGCAACAGCCTCGGCTCACATGATCCAAGAGGTTGGACACAAACCTCAAGGGCTGTGGGAAATGAAAGCAAACCTGTTGCTCAAATGTCAGTTCCACCCTCAAAATTCAACAAGTGCATTTCCATTTACCACCAGACTTGAAGCCCCTGAAGACATTTTTTCCTCCAAGTGTTGCTATTTCACACTCACCAGAAGGAGTTTAGTTACTTATTGTATCCCACTCACTAAAAATTCAACACAAACCATGCTGAAGAGCAGCATTTTCTGGGACTAAGTTTTATTTCCACATTTCAGACAGACCAAGACCACAGTTATTCCAACAGCATCCCTCTTTTCAGCAGCACCTCCCTTCTCAGCAACACACAGCACAGCCAAGCTTTCCTACACGTGCTCCTGGTTGGGCTTACTAACATCGTCACTTCATTTTGAACGATCAAATGTGACAGTGCTTCAGTGGTGAGATTTCTTTGCCATGCCAATTCGGTCCCAGGTCAGAGGAATGCAGGGGCAGGGTGATTCCGGTGGTGTGGATCTGCTTATCTGGCTAATCCAGAAACAGCAAGTCTGTCCTACTCCTTGCACATACTCTGTGCAAGCCACATTTCCACGGTCAGACTGACTCTTCTCCATCAGACATAACTGGTTTTTGCCCTCTCTTTACAGAAGGCAGGATTTATGCTGAAGATCACCCAGCTGAACGTAGAAGAACCACTCCCCCAGAGACTTTGCACCTCTAGTAACATCATTCACACCTGTCTATATATACACACAATAAATCCTGATGCCTCTTGGCAGAAGTTGTACCTTCACAAGGGTCCTCCCGATCAGAATTCTGCTTGACACTCACCCTGACAGGGAGGACCCTGTGCAGGTACAGCTGCTGTTGTCTCCAACCCACCCAGGAGAACCAAGCCCTCCACTTGCACACACGTGTTTCAAAGACTGCTGAGAAAAGCCTTCATCCTGCCATACACGGTGTGATGCTCAGTTGTCTTGGTTTTACTTTAGAATTTCTCTGGAACTTGAACCCACCCACCTTCCTATGGCTCACCTTAACCAAGTAATTCCTACATCAAACTCTAAACTACACACATTGCATGTCTTGCTATGCTGATTATCTACTACTGAGCTGTAGTAGCTGAGCAAGTAACTCTTGATGGAGAGGTGATTTCAAGGAGATCTGGAGGCCTGGGTAAGACTGAGTGCCTGGAAAACCCAGCAGATTGGTTCTATTCATCACAGAGTGACTGGGTTTTCTGTACAAAGATGGACAGGTACCCCCCGACCAGAGAACCACAAAGCTGGTAAACACAAGTTTTCTGTTCCCTTTATCATGCCACTTTCTTGACCCCCGACCTTGTTGCAGACCTTCATGTACACACTGCTAGTGAAGGACGAAAATGCCATCAAACTCACGTCAGTGACATTTTAAGTACCTTATAGTGGCGTCAGAGATTATGATAATTCCCGTGCCACATGAATGAGGCTCCTTATTTCTTTCAATCCCACATCTACTGTATCCTGGCTGAAAGATTGATTACTCCTCTGCTTCAACTCTGCTTTCTCTGCTTTTTATTTCCTTTCAGTAGATTTTTCCTTAGCTTGCAAACACAGCTGAGCTCCCAAGAGGAAGGGAGGAGAAGCACATACTCCTGCAATCTTGAAGAGCCATATTCCAAGCCAATACTTATTTGCTTGGTTTCTTGCAGTGAGATAAGCTTTGCAATCTGTACACACCCACTACTCCAAGTGCCATGATCCTTCTAGCTTTCCTTCTTCCACCAGGACCTGTCTCACCCTCTCACCTTCCTCACTGCTGCAGGCAGGTGTCTCAGCTTTGATACTCTCCCAGGAGAAGGTAGTAAAGGATGCCTCTGCTCATTCACAGTGGAAATGGCATTGCCGTCATCACCCACAGACTAAACAGACTCAGAGAAACTTTCATTTTAATCAGAAATTTTCCGCTTGACAGCCCTGAGATTGCCTTTGCTGCACACAGAGTGTCCTGGTGCCCCACCATCAGCAGGATTCAGTGAAGTTCCCAGGTGTGTACAGCCTCAAAGTTAAATGAATTGTGGTTCCAGCAGTGGTGAAACACTAACTTCACTGTGCACTACGCTTCCAAAGAGCACTGCTGGCCTTTGAGCTGCTCACCCATTCAAAGGTGCTGGGCTCCCAGGTCTCCACAGGGCTCAGCAACTCAGCTATTGCTCTGTTTATGCCAAGGGGAAAAAAAATCTGCAGACTGTGCTAGGAGATATTCTCTGCCTGACTGCTGGGAAGCATCCTAGCTTTCCACTGCAAAACAAGATGTCCAGGGCCCTCCTAAATCACCCACAGCTTATCAGCTCTGCTGTAAATAACAAGGAAGCCAAAATACAACAGCTAACAAATATTTATAACACAAAGACCAGTCATAAGGATGGTTTTATAAAAAGCTCTTGGTAAGGGTGTAGATAATCCTTACGAGGAGATTTCCATCTAGCTGTATGAAAAAAGCACTGTTAAAAACATGATGCTACATGTTACACCTTTAGAAGCACCCATCTGTGCCTGCAGATCAAGGCACTGCATGCTAAAACAAGTAGTCAAACCTCTCTGCAGACCCCAGTACACTTCAGCCACTTCAGCCAGGCCCCTCCTCTATCAAGTCACTCCCAGGCAGTGCAGGCAGATGCTCAGTTTGGTTCTGCATTCTGTCTCACCTGAAAACTCCTCAGGCACCTTCAGTCTTTGGGATGGTGTCTCTTCACTTAACCCTCAACATTTGGTGGTGCTTCCAAGGGATTTGCACCTCCCCTGATCACTCCTGTTTAATCTTCTGCCACAAAGAGGAGATGAAGGATGATGCATCCAAAGGAACGCCATGGGAAATGAGTAGGATTTGGGCACTTCACTCCTGAATGTTCTCTGGAAATAATACACCAAAACCTAAATACATCCTAAGCTGACTTCCAGCGACACCTCCCAGGGACATGAGTACCCTTCTCTGCTGCATGGGAACTAGCGTCTCTAGGGAGCAACTTCAGTTTTTCCTTCCCCAAGCAAAAGACCAGAGTGATACCTGAGACTCCCTATGTCTCCTTGACAGCCCATAAAGATCAAATCAGCACTTCAAAAGCCCTCTTGGAGAACCAAAATTCCTCCAGAGACATGTGGAGCCCATGCAGATCACATATAGGTCACTACTTACAAAAAACCAAAAGGTAAAAAACCTAGAGCAAATTCTTGGCTTCGTGTATTTCTTTCCTTTCACTTATTATACCTATTCTGAGCAGACAAAATCATTTTGCACAGCAAATTGGTGCTGACAGATAACCAGACTGCTGCTCTTCAGCACAGCATCCTACCTGTATTTTGCCTAGTCCCTGGCTTATCCTTTCCTAGTCTTTCACTTACAAGCACACATTTTCACAGTGAAGGAGAAAGCTCCTTTACTGTGATCAGAATTAATTCTGCTTAATAAACATCTGGTCTTGACTGAGACAGACTGAAGGACAGTCTGTCTTACAGAGAGACCCATCTTCAAAAACATCCCCTTGTTATACAAAATTAGGAGAAGTGAAAATATTTTTTATAAAATATTTTAGTCATTTGTACTTTAGTTCTGGTTTCATTTCCTGGTTCTGATGAACTTAAAAACTGCTGCAATAGAATTCCGTTCACTGAGGAAGCAGTCTGCAACAAAACAAACTATTGATCCTTTTTATCACTATTGCATAAAAGTGTTTACTTTACATCCTAAAGTTTGGTAGCTTGAGAGTAGGGCGTAGCAAAAAATAATTTAGAAGGCCAGCTGTGTCCTTTGTCCCTTCAAAGGAAGTAAGGTAACTGTGCAAAAAATGAAAACAAAAGTGAGAAAGAGAGGGGGAGGAGGAGGCCCAGAATTAAAATACCTTGATACTTGCTCCTTCCTGTTCCTTGGTCCTCAGCAGGGCAGGTCTGCTGAACCTTTGTCTGCTGAACTGAAGCTCCACAAAACCTTACTTTTCCCTCTGCCAAGACTGCATGATTTCTTTTCTTTCCTCTCACTCTTTTCCTTCCCAAATTTCTCCCGGTGCAAAATCTCCTGGCGGAAGGATGTCAGAACACCTCACTGGGGACCAGGCAGCCTCCGTGTCTCCTTTCTCCTGGGGTTCACTCTGCCACCTGACCAGCTGGGCTCCCTATGCTGCCAAAAATATTCCTGCTTCACTATAAATCTCCCACAGGACAAAGCCTCCTTCTGCCTTGCATCCTTATTTTGTGACAAAAATGTAAAAGTAATCTAACCATTAACTGGGTTCCTCTGCCTCCTGAGCCCATCCCCAGGCACATTTTAGATGAGGTATGATCCAGCTGGTTTACTGAGAAGACACAGCAGGGTCTGTTGGAGAGAACCCTGACACCTCTCCAGTGGAGCTGAATGTCACCTCCAGAAAAACATTCCCATTTTCGAGCATCACCTGCCGCGAGCCTGCTGTCCCAACACCATCTCCTTTATCAGCTCCTTGTCACGGCATTCAGGCTCCCCTAGCGAGGCTCCCTGATCTCATTCAAACCGCGCGCTTCCTGCACAGGACGGAAAGTGCCAAAACTTGTTTCCAGGCCAAAACACTGTGAGTAGAGCAGCTGAACACATCACTTTTCTGCGACAGGATAAAAAAATGCCCCTGCCCTGCCACAGGGCTTAATCCAGTCTCGGATACCAAGATAAACAATCCCGGCACAGCCCTATGCGGGCAAATCCCCCTGCCTGCTGCCAAGAAACACATTTTGTTATGCAATCTGCAGCTGAGCGCTCGGTGGTCCCTCCAGCTACATCCCAAATCTCGGCATGAAGCTATTGTGTGACTCAGACCACCACTAAGCCACCCACCAACCCCACCAGACAGGACCCAGTGCAACAGCACCTGTGCTGGCCGAGATGCAAACCCTTCCTTAGTACTAGGCTGAAGAGTTTAATTTGTCCCTCTTCTACTTCTGCAACTGCAGGTCTAAAATAATGAGAAATATCCATACACCTGGCCTGCTCCCATAGTTTCTTAAATTAACCATGGAGTTTCCAGCCTTCCCAGCAACTCTGGGCTTCCCTCTCCCAAAAGCTGAGCTATCTTATCTGCTGTTAAATTGTGAAGTGGCACAGCAGGGAAAGGAAACACGCAATTTGACCCTGACCTCCTGCCATCCTGGGGTAGCAAATCAATTTAATCCAGAAGGACATTCAATATTCTTATCGGGAGCTCCTCGTACATAAGTGGTTCCTTTCCACTGCCAAGTGCCAGCGATAACCTCTGGTGGAGGTCTGGACTCATCACAGACCCCAGATTTAGGGAAGAACGTGCCTACTGCCTGTTCTGACATCTTCAGGACGTACCAATCATTTCACTGCTGATGGGATCCAGCACCTGGAGGCAGAGGGAAATCCTGGCAATTTTGGGAAACCACCGCCCTCCCCATCTCTGAGACACTTCTCCCTCCCCTGTACTCCGTGCCCTTCTCCATGACGGCTGCCTATGCAGGCAGGACTGCCCCGCAGGCTGGATGGCTGCCTTCCTGCCCGTGGTCGGGACACGTCCTTCTAAGACACAGAGAACCAGTAGTATTGTCAAAAAAAAGTTAAGTGCCTCCCTGCTGGCAATGAAGGGCATTTCAAAATACTCTGTTCCAGCTTCTTCCTAGCACTGCCGCCTGCCCCCCAAAGCTGCTGAACTACCTTTGCTTTAAAATTACAGAGGTAGGATTAAAGAAAAAGGTATTGCAGGAGGAAGAGCTTCTAATCCCAGTGATAAATAAAAGTTAAATAAAATAAACTCTGCTCTAGGCAACTGACAGAGCACAACCAAGCAGATGTACAGGCAAATGCAATCCTGCAGGTCTGAACCCTGCCGTGACGCTTTGCAGTGAGCGACGGGCGGATCGCCTCCTTACCAAAGTAATCAGCCTTTGGCCGAGCATCCATCTCCTGCTCCAGCCGCTGGGTCAGTGCCTCCAGCTTCAGCTCAGCCGCCGATGGCCCTTGCTCTGGCTGCGGAAGGAGGGTCTGGCAGGGCAGCTTCACCTTTGCTGCGCTGGAGCCATCCAGGTGCCCCGAGTCTGACCGCGGCCCGCTGACGGCCTCCGGGAAAAGCCTCTGCGGCGCACTGGGAGCCGGCATCCCTCGCGAGGCCGGGCGCGAGGAGCCCGCCTCAGGGCTCCCGCTGCTGCCGGCGGGCCTGTGGGTCTGGCCGCGGGCCACCAGCTGACTGCCCGGGCTGCGGTATTCCACGCTGGGAGCAGCGGCTGCGGAGTCTGGCGGGAAGGACACCGAGACACCCTGGTACCACGGCTGGCCGCCATCTCCTCCGGCTTTGGGACCGCAGGGCTCAGCGGAGCCTGAAAACCCTCGAGTGGGCTGCGCTGAGGGTGCCGAGAAGGATGAGGACCTCTGCTGCGGCGGGGGCTCCTCTGGCCCTACCGAGGGTGCCGAGGGGATCCCGGAGTTTGAGAAGGAGGAGCTCTGTCCGGCCGGCATCGGGTCACGGCCCCCGACACCTCGCCTGCCCTGGCCGCCGTTCTCCTGCCCGCCGCGGCAGGGCAGGGGGTCGCCGAGGCTCCCAGCCTGCTGCTCCCCGCGCCCCACGCCAGGCTGTGTGCCCCCCGCTCGGGAGATCCTGTCGGGCTCCGCTTCCCAGCCCCGGCGCCCGGCCTGGCTCCCCGGGGCCCCGGCACGTGCGCCGCTCTCTCCGAAGCCCCGCTCCCCTCCCTCGCAGGGCCTCGCTCGCGGCCCCTCGGCGGCGGGGGGCGGCTTCGAACCCCGCGCCACCGGCGGGCTGGGACGGGGGGGGTGGAAGGCGGCAGCCCCTCCGTTCATCGCGGCCATCAGCATCTCCTCCTGCTGCTGCTGCTGCTGCTGCTGGAGGTGGATCTTGGCCATCTTGGTGGCGAACACCCGCCTGGTCTCCTCGAACTCGGGGTTGTTGCCGGCACCTTTGTCCACCCGAAAGAGACCGTCCTTGGAGGCCTCGTACATGTTGAGGTCCTCGATGAACTTGCTGGCTTCCAGACCCAGATCGTCGTACTTGTCCATCCTGCCCGGCTTAGCGGGAAGACCCCCGCCGCCTTCTTCTTCTTCCTCTTCCTTCTCCTCTCCTCCTTCCCGCCGGGATCAAGGTAACGCCGGCAGCGGCAGCCGCTCCGTCCCGCCGCGCCCGTCCCCGCCGGGGGCGTGGCCTGGGGCGCGGAGGGGGCGCGGTCACGGAGGGCACGCCCCGACCCACCCGCTGACCGCGCCCAAGCCACGCCCAGCGCCGAGCGCGCTGCCCGGCCCGCTCCGCAGCGGGCGCGCGGTGTGCCCGGAAGGGCGCGGTCCCGCGCACGTCCCGCCGCGTCCGAACGGGCTCGGGAAGGGCGCGGGTCAGCCAGCACAGCTGGGAACGGGGTGCGCACGGTGGCTAAAGTCACCCGAGTGATGCAATTAAAGTGGTTTTGCCTCGTCTCTGGATGATAATTCCAGAGTCGGATGATATTCCTCTGGATGATACTCCTCTTTTTCACCCTGCAGCCCGGAAACCTTCCTGAAGAAGCCTTGTGAAAAATCACAGGCGCCCTTTGGGTAAAACAAAAACAAACAACAGCCCTACTCCCCCATGAAAAACTGCGAGGAAAATCTCATCCCATAACTATTGGAGCAATAAGTATGTATAGCAGGAAATTATATTACTTTTCTTGGTGTAAATAGACATTCTATGCTGGATATCATGCTTAAGTTAGCATGACTAAAGGAACCTGGATCACTGCAGGAAGACGACCCCTTGCCTGAAGAATAAAGGATACCTCTGGATGCCCAAGATAACATCAGCATCCCAGCCTTCCAGGCACCTTTGGGAACACCCTCACCCCATTATCCAGCATCATACATGTAACTGCAGCAAGACCAACTCCAGAGACATTCAGATTAGGAAAGAAGCAGATGGATCATGACATCATAAAATTATTGTTGCTTTGGAATTTGGTAGCATATGTGTGATACATAGGGACTGGGCAAAGCATGTTGTTCCCAAATGCTTAGAAGGTATAGGAGCTGTCTGTAAAACTGCATTTGGGGTGCCCCTATGTGATTGGGACACTTCATGTCTGTGATGAAAGACTTACTTGTGTGAATCTACACTTTACTTCTCAGTCTCCCTCTTCTGTCAGCCTGGGCCAGTTGCAAAATTTTCATGGCAAAACACAGCCTGGGACTGCTCAGAGGTTGGGGGCTGCAGTAGGAACCTCTGCTGGGTTCGTGAGAGAGGCTGGTTGGTAGGTAGCTGTCATACCCCTGATTAAACTTACTGGTGCAGTTGATCCTACAGGCCCAGGCACGTGTCCGGCATTCCCATAACTTGTTATTGTAATTCTCCCCCAGGCACCAGGAGGGAGGGCCAAATGTTAAGGAATGTGGAAATTCTCTGCCTTTAATAATGGCGAATTGGGCTGTGACCAAAACATGACAGAAATAAAAAAAAAATTCCCTCCCCTCTTTGACCCATTCCCTTACAAAAATACTCCTGAGCAACTGGGGCCAGACCTGTGAGATTTGAATTAACGTGCTTAAAAATGATGGCACTGTGAGCCTCTGGAAAAGGTGCCTTGCCTTTCAAGGCAACCTCGTAACTGCTGTGGTGTCTCCGAAGAAGCTCTGAGCAGGACCGAGAGGCTGAGGCAGGATGAGCTGGAGGCTGCAGCAACAGCCTTAGGCTGGAGCTTGAGCTGATGAACTTTGGACTCACAAAAGTTAGCCCAGCCATAGCACAGCTTTAGATAAGGAGGTTTATGGTTTCTAGGGAAGACAGGTGGATGGGAATCCCAGCACAGGGCGAAGCACAGCAGTGGAGCTCCCCCAGTCCTCAGGACCTGGAGAAGTGGCACCCCAGCACATATTGCTACTAACCATGGCCTGACACTTTTTAAAGATATTGAAAATGCTGGAGCTTTTCACAATATCAGAGAAATATCCCAAATATCAAGCAGCCCCATCTATCAGACCTTTCCAAGCCCTCCTCTGCTGTGAGGATGAGGGTAGGAGGGGTCTCATGGCTCTATCAGGCTGATCCCCACAAGCCCTGTTTCACTTTGTGAGAAGCTGGGTCCCTGGAGGCTAAACCCCACTTTGCACAAGTCCCAGGAGTTCAGGAGGAGTTTTTAGACTCTGTCTGGTGTACACTGTACAAAGACAACAAACCCCTGCCTGTGCCAGGGCTCTTTGTGCTGGAGTGGAAGGGGTCCCATTTTTGTGGCTGGGAGAGGCCACAGTGGCCCCCATCAGCTGCTTCATGCCAGGCTGGTGTAGGCTCAGGTCACCAGTTACCACCAGCGAGAGTGACTACCTCTTTTGTGGGTCTTGACCAAGACTGTCAAGTCTGAGGTAAAGCTCAGCTGGGGCAATGAAAGCCAAAACAGTTTCAGTGTCTAAAGAGCATCCTCAGAAAGGGCTCCTGGAAGTATGTTTTTAGCAACATCCTGGGCTGACCAGGAGAACCACAGCAAGTGACTGAGGCCTGGGATGCCTCCTCCTCATCGCTGGCTTCAGGATGCTTTTGGAGATGGGCTTAGCTGAGGTGCTTAGCTTTCAGTCTGACCACTTTTATCTAAAATGGGCAAGCTTCAGTGTTCAAACAGTAAGTAACAAAAAAGTTGGTTCTGAAGCACATATTCAGTTCATATTTGTACAGAGAATGACAGAAAGGAAACAGAGCATCAGGTAGATAAGGATGAGAGCGTGAGCCCCAGCACTGCTTTACTTGCTGGAGGAATATGCAACGTGGACAAAGAGCAGTTGGAAAGGAAATTACACATCGTGCTCCTTCTTGCCTCCTTCTACCCAAAGGATGTGAAGTTAATCAGGAGAAGCCATGTGCCTGTGGATGATGTGCATCCAGCACATCAGAGACTCAGACTTGTGTCTACTGGAGTTTTTTTTAATTCCAACACACTGAGATGAGGCTTTTCCATCCCTCTAAAAAACCACCCATTTGGTGGAGCAGAAGGATTTGGGGGAAGATATCTCTATTTTCGGCTTTCAACACAAAAACCAAGGAAAAATCTAACTTCCATCAGATCATGTATTTTAGTTTTCTTTTTTAGGGTCATGCACACATTTTCTGCCGTTACTTTTTATCTAACATCTGTAAGTCCTTTTACAGTCTGACCTGGAGGAGCTCACCACTTTGCAGGGGGAAGGAGTGGGGGGAAGCAGACTTCTTGCCAAATGGCTGCTCTGGATGCTGCTGACCTTCACCAGCTATGTAAAGTACATTTCCTTCCTATGCCAGAGGATCAAATCAGCTGTCTGCAGAACAATGCTTACACGGATGGCGTGGAAAAGGCTGCTGAAGCCCTTTGGATAGGGAACCCCTCGCACTGGGCTTGGTCTCCTTCCAGGCTCCGCATGCATGAGCAGACACTTTGATGGCAAGCGCCTTCGAAGGGGGATCACTGCCAAGCGATTCAAAGGCATCTTGGAGTTGAAACTGTGACGCTTTCCGTGAACATCAGGCAGCAAAATACCTTTGAAATTTCCTGCTCAGATTTATTCTTTTCTGTGAGATTTGTGCTAGGGGTATTCCTAAGTGAGCAGATGATTAACTTGAACTTTCTACTAGACTGGAGATGTAATACTACACTGACTTGCAGACCCTTCTGCTGTGATTAGATATGCTCCCACATGTTTATAGTTCCTGTGACATTTACAGCCCATGCCTATTAAGAAATTAAGGGGTCTACGATTGCTGTTATAGCAGAGGACCAAGATCTATGAGCCAATTTGAATTAACTTATTCTAAACCCTACCCCTTGAAGAGAAAAAAAAACCAAACAAACCAAAAAACCAAAAAACCGTTGCTCATTTAATCTGTTTTTGTTCCTGTGGGCAAGGCTTACACACTGCATTTATTAATGCAAAATAACGCTGACAGCTTGTAATTCAGCCCCGCTCCACGTGGCAATCTCAGCTGCCCATGGGGTGGAGGGAGGCAGTGATTTGGGGAGAAGCAGCCCCGAGCGGTGTTCCAAGCTTTTGGCTGCACCTCGGTTGGAGTGCTGGGCACATCACCGCAGCCTTGTGCTGGGGCAGTGCCGCTCTCCAGGGCCGGCAGGCTGGGGCACAGCTCTGCCTGCGCGGGTAAACGGGGAAGTCGCGATTGAGAGCAGGAAGGGGATCATCCGTCTTTGTTTCTTGCTGCCACGTTGGTGTCTGGGCTCACATTGCAGAGAGATGGAGAAAATGTGAAGAAATTCTCCACCACAAGTTCACAAGTTTTTCTCCCCTGCCCTCCCGCCGCCCCCCCCCCCCCCCCCCCCCCCACCTTTTTTCTATCTGGGAGAAAACGCCCTCATATTTTAAAGCATTACAACAGCCCGCGGCTGTATAGTTTATAGAAACACATGATTAGGAGGAGTCTGGGCGCCAATTTATAGCCAGATCTCTCTCCAAGAGCAACTATTGCATGCTTACACTGCCTATTTGCTACCAAATCAGTGTGAGGAACCAGGGGCTGGCAGTCCACCAAGTTGTTTGTGGACACGTCCACAAACATGGACAGGGCTGCTCCCCAGTACCCGTGTCTCTCCAGGGATGTAGCTGTCCCAGGCAGGTCATTTCCTGCAGGACTACACACACCACTCTGCAGGGCCTGAGATACGTGCTCTGCTGTATTTTAGCAAGAAAGAAATAAAGGCTTCAGTACTAGAGTATAGACAGAGTGAGCAATTTATAAGGCAGAAGTATTTCCAGGATAGAGCCTGGCTTGGTTCTTGCAGGAACAAATGTTTCTCTTCTTGCAAGGCAGTGCCACAGCATTTCTAATAGAGGTTTTCATTAAATGTGCCATTTATCTACACCTGCCAGATGCTTTTTACTAGGAAGATGATGCACAGCAGCACTGTAAGGCAAATAAGAGGGAGGAGGGAGGGATGAAGCAAGGTGACTGCAGCAGTGAGCCCAGGGGCTGCTGTGGGTAGGAAGGCTGGGCTCAAGCTGGGGGCCAGATTGCTGGATGGGATGCTGCGGAGGTGGGGAGGCCAAACCTCAGCCTCTGCCTTCCCGAAGGTTTTCAGGAAGGTGGCAGGGCAGGGCAGGGCCATATTGTTCCTCCTCACAGCTGCCTCAGGGGCCCCTGCATTCCTCCAGGAGGCCTGCCCTGCCTGCAGCCTGCCTTGCCTGCTGCCTGCATACCGAACCCCCAAGCCGCAGGGGCAGCCTGGGGACT